GGCCTGACGCTCCGTCAGCCTCCTCGGCTCCCAGGCTCAATACCGCGTTTTCTCTGGATGGCCACTTGCCGCCTTCAAAGACGAAGAGATGGCGACTGCGGAGAATTGCGCGACACAACGGGCTGGAGACGTCAGAGCTCAATCTGGACATCGGATCCTCAGCCACCGGAAACTGGGGAAATCAGGGTGGCTAGGGCCTTTTTGGCGCAGCACTCCAAACTGCGTGCGTCGGTCATTAGAGACAGCGCGCTTTGTCTGAGCCTTGGAAATCCTGGTCGCTCATAATTCACGCGTCATGGGACAGGTTCCCCGTTTGCCTCTATAAAACATGAAGCTTCTACATTTTGCCTACTTTACAATGCTTGAGAGAGGCTTCACCTTTGGCGTTGGCTGGGCAGTCGTCAAAGCTGACACACACCTTCTGACAAATAAATATGTCACGTAGATAGTAGCAAATTGGTTAGGTGCCATTGAGGAGAGGAGGGGGATCTTACAAAAAGGGACCGCAGAACAGCAATCGGGAGAGAAGATGGTGTGATGAAATTGACTTGTTAGAACGAAGTAATGGAAAAGGAAGATATTACGGTGTGAAGAAATAGCGATGAGAGTCGATTAGATGATGACAGAGGCAGAGGTGGTATAATTAGGAAGGGAAGTTAGATATGATAGACGAGGAGGCGAGTTGATTGGACCTTATACGAGAGGGGACTAAGATGGAAAATGCTGAAAAATACAAGGAAGGTGACGATGATGAAGGCGATGAAGACTTTGGCGAGTTGGACAGTGACTCAATGGAAGAAGCCCTAAGCCCCGACTCGAACAGCCAACTCCAAAGCCCCGATAACAAGGACCTTTCGTGAGACGAACATCGTGAGCGATGCGGCGCATTGAGGCAATGCTTGGTTTGAATAATTATTATTTTCACCATTTGTGTTGTCCTGTGTTGCAGTTAATTTGCTTATTTATCCTTTCTTGCACGTCACGAGTGCTCTTCTCATGTATTATAACTTGGTGCAGCAGAATTGCATGCGAGCTGCATGTGTGGGCGCCGTTCGTACTTGCTAATAATAAATGAAATGCGTCAGTAATTAGGAAAAGGCCATAGTGTCTCTTACTTCCTGAGCCTAGCACAGATTCCTGTGTGTAGAAAGTGGTTGAGACGTAAAGCCAAGAGGGAACCTAGAAAAGAGGTTGAGTGGTGCTCCTTCTCTTTGGCGGTTAGTCGGTGGTGGGGAACGTCTAATGTTCTCCAAGCGTGCATTGTCATAGGGCGTGTGATTATCTGGGCGTGTGATTATTAACGGCTGTGTGGTTTAAAACCATGCACCCTTTACAAAATCATACACGTTATTGCGCATATTCATATAAGACCAGGTAGTTGGTGCATAGCAAGGTTCAATATATATCACCAGCTTAGTTGGTCGTAATTTAAAGCATGCTACCAGTTATAGAGAAACCAGTTTTGTGCGAAAGCTTCATGGGCATAGGCCAGTTTGAGCTTTATTGATTCCATTGTGGTAAATGCAGTAGAGTCCATCAGGACCAATGCGATCAAGCACTAACATATGTACGGTCTACAGATACTAACATAAAATCAATTAGCAAATAACACAGAGCTGCGGGGATTAGCCGCATAATTTCTCACTGTATGAATCCCAGAGTGTGAAATCACGATATCGTCTGATAATGATGTTTCAGTGCAGCCGCATTACTTTGTGTGGACAATAGCCCTATATTTCCTTTACGTCACTCTTTCATACAACAATGCACAATGCGCAAGCGCGCATGGCATATAGAAACAGGAGTAAAATGCAACGTGGTCGCTTTTTTTACATCTCTATATTCACGCAATAATTTGAAGCGCCATACCTTTATCTAGCCTAGAAAGCACAGAAATACATTCATTCGTAACTTCTGGTGCATGTGGTACACATAATGCCTGAACATGGATGGTCCCGAAATAATTTTTCTTGCATTCCAGTTCACGAAACTTTCTTCTCATTCGCGATGAATAAATTATTTGCAGTTTTAAACACAGAACAGGAGATAAAATTCCACAACAATGTGCCCATTATTTAGGCTAGTCGTTCGAAGGATATAAATGCGGTAAAGTGTAATGCCCCTTCTCTATTCCATTGTAGGTTCACGCTTCCACGCACCATTTTTCTAAATGTGTGAAGCAAAAGGTTGAGCAATGATAATTAAACAGTTTATGGTTGTGTTGCAGCTCTCTTGGGGCCTGCACTACGTATTCGGTAAGAGGTGGCATTTATTTTGAGATTTTTGTAACTAGCTTTACACTCTTTAGAAACCATTGCAAAACGTCTGTCGGAAAAGAACAATATAGATTAAAAAGGTTATTCGGGAACATATACGCCCATGCTGCCCCAGACGAGCCTGAGGTCACTCGGTACAATATCTTTAAATTCATGGCAACTCATTCAAAATTGTGGTTCCTCATTACATTGAAAAATTTAAGCGCTACGATTCAATGCTAAACATCGCACCTTTTTCGTTTCGATGGTCATCACTTTGTGTGACACCGCCGTAATTTTGATGCCCACGTTTGGACACTTTTATATCACTAGCAGACAGAATAGAAGGGAGATGGAAGGACCGTGGGAAGCATACGCTTGCAACGGTTGTAAAAAATGAGAGCAAGTGAAAATGCCCGTACGTTGGGCCGGCTGTTTTTATTCTGACCTCTTTCTCTTCCTCCTGTAGTCGGGTATGCAGCCATGCCTGGGCTCTGCTTCTGTGATTATTGCACTCGGCCACATTGCGTGCATGAAGAACTGCCAAAGCTGGCCCTTCGCTGGAACAGGTCCTCTCTTCGAAGGATATCAACCACCATAGGTAGAACTAATACCTCTGCTGGCCGGCATTCGCTTCCTCGCAGAGGTTGGTCATGGCCATGATGCGTCTTGCGTTTGAAGTGAGGTGATGATGGCTCTTGTGTACGCTGTTACTAAGTCGTGCAGCTCGTTGTGCTTTGCTTTGAAAGCCTCGTGACGATGGCTCTGATGGGCGACATTTGTGGTTTTGCAATGCCCGTTGTCGGCACAGGCCCGGAGCCATGAGCTACCAACTTAACCGAAACTGTGCCTGGCACGTGCTATTGGCTGTGTCTGCTGTGTCTCTCACGTAGACGCCAAGAGTCGCCTTGCGGGGCTGTCGAACGTTTCAGTGAGGGACCTTAATTGTCTTATTGCAGCAGCATCACGCTTAGCAGGTAATTCAGCTGGCACAGTTTGGGGCACCGGTCTTCATTCGCGTCGGTGTTCCGGACAGGCAAATGCCTGCGCAGCTATGGATGAGCACAAGGTCTGACAAACTGCACTACTTGATCGTGATTCCACGTAGCAGCGCCTATGTTCCTATCGACTTGGGACGCAAGGCTTCCGGAATGATCGATGCCAGCCACGTCTACTTGGGGCGGGTCGACGGCCTTCGTGTTGAGGTCCGCACACTCGGCCAATGACTGAGGTGCGTGTGGCATCCGGGGACGTGGCTGCAAGGGGGGGGGGTATTTTATTGGCATTGTTTGTTTGGTCCAGTTGAGGGAGAAGTGGATTGCCCTTTAGGCAGCAGTCACGGCGTTCACGTGTTCGAGTGATGATGAACGTGAGAGCAACTTCTCCGACTGACGTTGGTGGCAACTGCTCTCAGTCTCTGGCAATATACCGGTCGCATCACGCACTGACGCTCACTCAAAAAGCTGTAATGGTGCACAGAGTTCGAGGTCACTTTCACCAGCAGGAAAAACGATAGTGTTTTCTGCCGAGGAGTCGTAGGGCACAGCTGCAGCGTCAAAGTGAAGCCCTTTACGATCAGGGTGTCCAAGGAAGGCACAATGATGGAAGCCTGAGCTGCTTGATTGAGGTTGTGTGCCTCGCAGCTCTCATGCGGAATAAAGAGTTGGTCGGTGTCGAAGGAATAGCAGTTGTAAAAAAGCAAGCGGAAACACTCGTCAACCTCGCACACAATTCAAACCAGGATTGCTGTTGTACACCTTCATAATTATTCTAGTTCTTCACAGCCCCGAAAAGGTGGTCGATGGCCACCAACCATTTTAAACCCTCCTGACTGGCATAGCGGGCACCGAGAGCCTTCGACGTGTCGACCCACGGCGCCCAATCAGCTTGCATCGTTCAGAACTCCATTAGCTCTTATGACACTATAAATGATAGTGTCAAGTACAGGGGCCCGGTAGTGCGCATGAGGAAGCGATCTATCTTCTGGGCAAGCAAATGTGTTGCCCGCATTACGTCCTTAGGTAGAGTGTGTGAGGGGCCCGAGGAGCCAGGAGTGATGAGCGTGGAGATACGGAAGCTCTGGTACTCATGGTGCCGGCTGAGACTCCCTAGTTCGAAAGTGGCAGCTGCTCAGACAAGCGTGTGGCCTTGCCGATGATCCTCGCAGCATCTTCTGAGGAGCCACCCGGGCAACTATTGGCGGCGGCCGAGGAAGATTCTGTTTTAGCAGAAGTGAGGGTGGCGATGTCCTGAATCATAGAAACGTAGTGAACGCGATAATTCGCGTTCACTATGTTTCAGTCAGCGCCACCAGCAGCCATGGCGGCGAGTGTAGCACACTTTTTTTAGCCTATTTGGCGTCACGTAGCACGTGAACTTATTACGAGTGGGCATCTGACCAATTGTCCCTCGTTATATAACCTAAAGGCAATAAGTCTGCCAGTACGAGACCCTCGTTAATTATTAAGGAAAGAAGTTTATACTCAAGGGCCTGTTTTTCTGTGTTTTACACAATATTAATGAGATCTAACAGACAATAATGCCAAGGAAAGTATAGGGGAAGATATTAGACCAAATTGTAATGTAAATATGAAGAAAAGTGGGTGAAAAGATAACTTGCCGTGTGCAGGATCCGAACCTGCGACCTTCGAATGACGCGTTCGATGCTCTACCACTGAGCTACCACGACAGCTATCCCCCCAGTCAATTTATTGGGTTTATATGTGAACTAAACGTGGGTGTGTAAGTCAGCGCTACCAGCAGCCATGGCGGCGAGTGTAGCACACTTTTTTCCTTAATTAATTAACGAGGGTCTCGTACTGGCAGACTTATTGCCTTTAGGTTGCAAACGAGGGACAATTGGTCAGATGCCCACTCGTAATAAGTTCACGTGCTACGTTACGCTAAATACGCTAAAAAAGTGCGCTACACTTGCTGCCAAGACTTCTGGTGGCTCTGACTGACACTCCCACGTTTAGAGAGAGAAAGAGAGAAATAAATAAAAGGAGGAGACAGGGAGGTTAACCTAGACAAACTGGTTTAATTCACATATAAACCGAATGAAGTGTCTGAGAGGATAGCTGTCGTGGTAGCTCAGTGGTAGAGCATCGAACGCGTCATTCGAAGGTCGCAGGTTCGGATCCTGCCCACGGCAAGTCATCTTTTCACCCACTTTTCCTCATATTTACATTACAATTCGGTCTAATAGCTTCCCCTATACTTTCCTTGGCATTATTGTCTGTTAGATCTCATTATTATTGTGTAAAACACAGAAAAACAAGCCCTTAAGTATACACTCTTTCCCTAAATATAATATATATATATATAAATATATATATGCTACTTGTGTTTCTGCTCAACCTGTGTACTCGCGGTATTTTTATCGCTGCAATGTAATCGCTAAGCCCTTTCCTTAACCCTTGACAAATAATAATTTATTATTCTTCGTTGGTGACTTATAGCGATGTTCAATATTCTTGTCTTACTCATCAAAACTATTCGGATTGTACTAAATACATGTTCATATTCAAAACGATGGCATCGTTGTTCAAATGTCTCCTAATTATCTGCAAAAATGAAATAATGTCAGAGGTCTAATTAGTCGTTTCAAGAGAATGCGGAGCCACCTAGCAGCGTGTAATATGCTAGACTGTTACTTCCTGTAGTATTTGTACGTATGGTAATTCATTGCCGTTATGCTACTATTTTATGTAAATTTTCAGGGGCATTCGTAGTTGCATGCTTTCTGTACCATCAAATTATGAATAACAGGAGTATAGGTGCACACCATGACAGTCATCTTGGACCCTTGTGTTTTTCCCACATGAACCATAGAGCTTCCTAAAAAACTAGAAGGTAATTTGGCATTGCGATCGTTCAGCGACCAAGAGAATGATAGGTAGTACACGGATTTCCCTAGTCTTCGTACTTGTGGTTGGCAAATCGTACTTTTGGCTTCATTTGTTGCCATGTTGCGGTTTGGTTTCGAACAAAAGAAAACTAACACTTTTGAACTTTGTGACTTAACTTGGAAAGGTACCCCTAAAAGTCTAAAGTGGTGAAGCACAAGCGCTGAGCATTTGCTGATTTTTGTTTGGTGAGAAAACAGCCCCAAGCAACATGATCACACAGGGAGCCAGAAGTACAAAGATTTTACAAATACGTGCACTCTCCATCATTATCATCCTTGCTGAAGCGGCTTCCGAATAAGCTACCTTAAGCACTAGCGTCAAATTTCCCTCGAGTCAATCTTTAGAAAACTCTATGATATGCACAAGTTCAAATTGATTGATGAAAACAGCTGTAGTTGAAGCTTGGTTATCATTTTATCTCGTTACAGGTGACGATTTGAATATGGATTGGGGTACGTCGAAAATCCGCTGTATTCTACGTGCTGGTCCTCGTATTCTATGAAAAAAGTTGCCAGGTGCAGCAATAACTAAGTGATGGTCGTCTACCGTACGGCTCTGTTGGTTAAAAGTCAGCGTGGTGCTTGTTTTTATGGAACAGCGTTCCAACCGTATTTTTAGTTGACAATCAGTGGTGTGTGTGTGTGTGTGTGCGCGCGCGCGGTCTACTCTGCCAACATTGAGTAGTGCTATTGAAGCCTAACTTGGACGGAGCCAACCTTGCGCCCAAAAACCTGTTTCACCCAATGGTACCTGGGCGCCTCCCTAGTATTCTTTGGGCTTTGCTCACACACGTGACCCCCAAAATAGCACTGCCAAAGCTGTGATGTCGACTTTCGTGCTCCCATGCAGCAGAAAAGAAAGGAAGAGATCTTCCTGCCCGTTAGACAGGTGTTATATACAGGCGGCTTCGTGGAAGTCATCGGCGTATTTCAAAGCGAACGAAAGAGACTGAATGTACCCATACTTCCTTGTCCATACTAAAGCAAACGCAGGCAGTGAATCAAAGAGACGGAGAAAGAACGAGCACCATGCCTCGACAAACCTAATTGTAAAGATACTATTATAGATCCTTTATTTTACACCACAATGATGAGGAAGGGTGGAAGAAAAGCGGAATATCATTTTGCCTAGCTCCGGCACCCCAAGTGTTTACTTTAGAACGTTTGCAGCAAACTGCGCTGCACACATAAACAATAAAGAAAAGCTTCCAGTCATACAATAGTATGTAGGGCCCAATAATTAACAATGTGATTGAGCGAGTCAAATAAATGGCAAAAAAGAGTTATGCCCCTGACACACGGGCACCCTGAAGTCCTTTAGACAAGGGGACATCTTTCGGAAAGAAGTTCCGGCGCAGTGACACACGACAAAGGAGTAACTCCTTTCCGGCAAAGATCCTTTTCGCAAAAGCAGATCCCGCATCTACTTTTCTGGCAGAAAGCGCGTACTCTCGCATACAGTGTGCATAATTTATCAATATAAGAAAACGTGTCGCAACACTGCGGTGCCCTGCCAGTATTTTTTTGCGCTGAGAAAATGTTTTCATTTTCAGCAGCAGTGCGACTTGTTGAAAAGTGAAGGCCTATAGTCGGTCCATACTCTCAAACGCCTGCATTACGTCACTAGAGCGATCATGTTAGGGTTGGCAGCGGCAGTTGCTGTGTCGGCGACGTAGTATGTTGTAACAATGGAGTCGGCTCAGTCGGTGAAGAAAAAATCGCGCGTCCAGTGGACTGAAAAGGAGACCTGGGCGCTGATAAAGCTATGGAAGGACCATTTGGACGCCTTGCGAGGGCAAAAGCACAACGGTGGAGTGTACCAGGCGATTGCCGAGAGCCTCACCAACGCCGGTATTCTCCGTACACGGGCGCAAGTTCACAGCAAAATTGAACTCTTGAGACAAACATTCAGGTTTCGGAAAAGCTTTATCTCTGTCTCAGCGCTGAGACACCGCAGGACAACGATAAAACGCGGCACGCCGTCACTGAACCCAGCTGGACGCAGCCATGTAAAAAGCACGACAAAAAAAACAAAAACAGCAAAACACCAACTGTTCATAGTAGCCATACGAACTTAAGTTGCTCCTAAAAACGCAAAAAATTGAAAGAAAATTACAGGTATGCGCATTATAAGCCACCAGACAATAAAAAAAACGATTCGATGCTCCGGCGTCGCTGAATGTGATGTACATGCGCAGATTATTTTTAATATTTCCAATCTTGCTGCTTCCATAAACAGGGCCATTTTTTCTGCAGCGTTCTTCTGAGGCACCGCCTAAAGCAGTAGTCCGGTGCCGTGTGTCATCAGCGCCACTCCTTTCTGCAAATGGTCCCCTTAGGCGATAAAAGGGCTTTACTTCAAAGTACTTTACTTTTGGCCGTGTGTCATGGGTATACACTGAGAAAGAAACACAATCACAAATAACTATACACTGCATTTTCTCAAAACATATAAAGTTATACATCAACACACCCATCACACACAAAAAATGCACACTTGGAACTAGAGAATCTAGTGTGATTTCAACAGCTGAAAAAATAGGAAAAAATTGAGACAAAACAAGAAAAACAAGGCAATATGCTTTGGATATATGAAGAAGCATAACCTTAAAGGTCATTACATATTATGTCGAAACAAGCACAAAAGTGTGATTTATTTGCTAGGCTAATGAGACAAAAATAGCTGTTAAACACTTGAGAAGAACTTGTGCAGTTATTTTGTTGGTGACCTTTCTGGTGCACTGGTTTTGCAACTACACAAGTGTAAAAGCTTGTGAAGCTTATGTTTTAGCATTTGTGTTCCGTAATGAGAGCTACATTGTAGTACTGTCTGATTCTATGCATAGGAATTTAATATACCTGTATCCTTTTTTCTAAGCAAAATAATGGAGCTAAATGTGGTCATTATTTTTATTTCTAGTTTGTATGCTATGAAAAGGAGGTAAGAATACATACACTAAATTTGTAGGATGTATGATGTTTACAAAAAAGGAATGGTGAGAAACGATTGAAAGCCACGTTATGCATGTGCCACAAGATTTTTTTTTCAGAAGTGAAGGTAGTATTTGTAATTTTGTAAAAGTAGTAGCCCCACACAAGATGACAGTTTGGTAAGCGTGCGTAAAACAGCGAGTTATAGGTGCGCAGTTTAACATTTGTGGGAAGACTTTGTCTGTTAAATTAAATTATCTCTACAATGTTAAATAATTTTTGCTAGGTAGATAGTGTATTCCTGAGACGTTGTTTCCGAAAAAATTACTCCAAGCATCCTAAATGATTGAACTTTTTTTTGCACCAATAGGAAAAAAGCTGTATCGATAACCGAATTTGAGCAACCTTGAAAATAGCAAGCCTCAGTTGCGTTAGACCCTTACTATTTATCCTTCAAGTGACTACATTGCCTTGCAATTTGCCCTCAGACTTTTTTTGCTTGCTCACTTTATCATGGGTTGCCAAACAGTCTTCGAACTATGACACCCTAGTCTGTCAAACGTCCTCTAATTTCATGCATTTCCACTTTGTTGATAATACTACACCTCCAACGTCGAACAGAAGCCTGCTTCTGTTTCTCACGCTAGCAGGTGTATAAGTATACATATCATCATCAGCCTGATTACGTTCACTTCAAGACAAAGGGCTCTGCCATGATCTTCTAGACAACGTGGTCATGTGCTTGCTGCTGCCACTTTATACCAACAAACTTTCTAATTTAATTTAAACACCTGAATTTGTCTCCCCATTTCCCCATTACTTGATTGTCCTCTCTTGGACCTTTGAATCCAGTCAGATATATATATATATATATATATATATATATATATTTAAAATACTTGCTGGTAAAACACTTGTCAACTTCATATTTACATTTTTCAGAAATAAAAAGGCCAGTCGCTTGCTACATGAAGCCAGAATACGGTGACTGCCACGGACATTTCACGCGTTATTTCTACAATGACACAACCATCAAATGCAGAACCTTTGACTATAGTGGGTGTGGAGGAAACGGCAACAATTTCGATACACGAAGAAAATGCAGATATTTGTGTGGAGGTAAGTAAATTCACTGCTTTATGCCTTCTGAATCCCATTGAAATATTGCCTAAATATTACTACGCCCAGGTACGCTATGTCATATACATATTATAATACCTCCTTTGACGCGTCTCGTGGTACACTATCATTCCTAACAAGCCGGTGAGTGCGGTGTAAGTTCAGTCGTTATGTGGCAGTTAGAGACAGTTTTGGCTTTAAGAGTTCTGGGGATATCATAGCTCAAGACCGACAAAAGAAGACGATGACCAGGAATACGGGAAACTTACCTTAAAAAGCATGAGCACTACTTTTCAAACTAAAGAGATACTCCAGAAGAGTGGACCTTCTCGTCTAAATATTACAATTAGTTCCCATAGTTTGGAGTGTTATGGGAAGCTGTAAGTATAGTGACAAGTTTGGCCATTTACAATGTCAAACGACATAACTAATAATAGAAAACTGTCATTCTAACAAATCATTGTGTTGGACGTTTTAACATATTTCATTTGTTAAGTAAAGGAGTTTTATTCTCATAAAATATTGATGTCTTCATTTATTATCAGATTGTTCGCCATCAGGTTGTTAGAGGGGTGGTTTAAAGTTGTTACTAAATAAAATTTGAAGAACAGTCTGTATTATATGTCCAAATCCACTGTTCAAGCAGTGTAAAATTGTAAAACACAGTGAAAAATAAATTCAACACAGCTGTCAACTTATTCAAGCGTCTTCATAACGTTTATGTAGGAGGAGCAAGAGCATTGCCGAATTTACATAGAATATTCAATTGTCAGTCCTTTAGCTCAAGATAAAAAAAATATTGCATGAGCCCTACCTCAAGATCATTTAACCAGATACATCGCAGTAAGAATGAAGGAAGCGATTTATAATATCGAATAAGGTTTTTGTGAAAGAATGCTTTCCCTTTCCTAAGGCACTTCATTTGTGTATTCATTAAATCGTCCTACAATTCTTACTCTAGGTTGCGTTCAGTGCCGATTTATATCAATCTTTAGTTAAATTTTTACAGTGGAAAAAAACATATTTAGCTTGGACAGTTTTTGACAGTGTGCAGGAGTTGTAAGTCCCAAAATGCATATTGTTGCTGTAACTGCTTTGTCTCAGGAGTGTGTGAAAAGGAATAATGTAGTGTCTACCTACTGTAGTTTATCAATTTTATTAGCCCATGTTCCGCGGTGTCCCATGTCACATTAGTGGATTCAATATGTTGCCGTCCCTACCCGCATGCTCTGTTAAATTAACCTGGGTTGTAGGGTGCTTGAACTTGCAGTGTAATTACCACAGGTCATTTTCCACTGCTCAGCTAATTTTGACAACGTATCAATTCAATAATTTGTTTTGTAACTGGTGTCATGCGAATGTACCTCTAATAGTTGCCACAAGTCCGTTAAAAACACGCATGACACCTAGCTCTGGGAATCGCTATACCAGAAAAGTGAAACGTGGCTTCGCCGAGGTATTTAAGTGTTTATCTCACATTATTTCTTCAAAAGGACAAAGCAATGATTGCCTCAGCAACAAATTTTATATATAGAACGGCAAGCAGCTTGAATATTTCATTGCGCACTTCGTGGCCAAAGCCCATACAAGATTGGCCCACACAGCATGAGCGCCGAGAAACCACTGTCTCAGCTCGACACATGAAGCACGCTGCTCAAACAGAAAGATGACCGAAACGAACGTTCAAGTCTACACTAGACGAGCGCTGACCACTGCCACAATTGTTACTTCTTCGTATGTGAGCAGCGTGCTCCTTTCATAAACGCGGCCGCGGCAGCGAGCGACGTGAACTTCTTGGTCTCCAGAATCCTGAGTTATATCGGGTAAGCGCGCAAGCAGCACAGACAATGCCCCGTGGATGCGCGCGCTCAAATACACGCGAGTTACGTCCATCGTGAGCCTGTTACATCATTTCGGCCTTGATGACGAGAACGCGGTGAAGTTGAGGAGCTTGGAGGTCCTACCAACGGTGTATGGTGCATATCAATGGCTCGTCATTAGCAAGCTTCACAACGTACGTTCCGTAGCTTAGCAGATTGAGTCGTGCGCTGCAGTATGGGGAGTCGCTGGTTAGACACCCACCCACGGAATTTTCCCTTTTCGTTTCTTCAGTCTCTTAATATAGATTACACTGCGTAATATGCGCAACATATTTACGTCAACACAGCTATAGTGGACCCGTCATAAAAATGTTTGTTTTAAAAGATGTAGAAGGACTGCTCTTCTGCATCTCTGCTCTTCTGCATTTTTCTTTGAGCTAACCTAAAGTTGTATTTATTCTTTTTTCAGCTAAATACGACCCAGAGAAGGACCCGTGTCTGCGTCCGCCTGGCAACAGATGGTGCCTGAATGTGCCAAAATATGTGGGAATGTGGTATTTTGACAAGAAAACTGAAAAGTGTGTCCGTTTTGATTATCGCGAATGTGCTTTGGTTCGAAATGTGTTTCCATCATGCGATAAGTGCAAGGAAGAATGTCAGCGTAAGTTTCCAGTCTGAAGGCTTTTTTTCTAAGAAACAAAAATAAGAAGGATCTTGAGGACTTCAGAAGTACCAAGATACGAAATGTAGTGGAAGAGGATATTGAGAACGTGTGTATGGTCTTGATTTATCATAGAAGACAAAAATTTTGACAGTCGTTATTAGGGTTGTTTCCTGCAAGCAGACACTAAGCTCTGATAGGCAGGTCAGTAAACTCTGGCTTTAAAGACGTCTAAGTTAATTGCACGCTCCCTCAGTGTTGTTGAAGAGTTTGTTTATATTTTTGTCATCTATGACGGTGCTGGTAAGGTCACATTAGACCGTACATCAGATTGCGCATAGTTGATTTCCCCAGACGCTGGTGTCATGGCTTCTTGTTTTTCGTAAACACGACCTGAACTTTGTCCACAGGAATTGTTCAAAATATCAGAGAAGAGAGTTTGATGAATTGGGAAGGCGGGACATCTTTCGTGCCTTCGTTTATTTTACGCGCAATAGTTTCGCTCAACTTCGCTCTTAGCGTTAATTTAAAAAAGCTCTACACAGCTTCATAGTAGTCTGCCCTTGACAATATCCGGAAGGCCTTGAGCACCTTGGAAATAACGACACTAAAGAAAAACAAATCTCTTTCCTTAGAGCTAAATACTCATTTAACCATAAATTTATTTATCTGCTTTAAATAATAACTACCTTTTCTACGCCACCTGAAGCCTATATTCACTGTTGACGAAAATGATGACACCTAAAAGAATTGCAATGGCAGCCGGAGGCTAACGAAAGAGCACATGAGGAATTCTCGTTGATTTTTTTTTCAACGCCGACGAATCGTATTCTTCTAACGGAGTTGAACGTGACCATGCGTGAATTCACTCATGCCACCAATACGCTATACGCTGGTTTCATCGGATACATATATATCAATTCAACATACGTTCGGTCCAAGCAAAGCATAGGTGACATTTGAGGAACCACTGGAAGGCTATTGAAGTGGAACTTGTCTGCTGAGGAGGTGCTTTTTTTCGCAAACGATTGATAGAAAGTTCCTTCATTGTTACTATATCAGGCAGCGTCCTCACATTACTTACTGAGTCATTCATAAAACTTAGATTTATATGAAAGTAGAAGAATGGGAAGAACCTGTAAAAGCTTATTACCTTATGTTGGCTCCTTGTACCAGAAATGCCGGTACTTTACCGAGGCTTTTCCATCAAACGTTTACGAAATTCTTAAAAACCGGGTAAATGTAATATTCATTTTATTCTTTTACATTTATTTTTATATAGCCACAGGCATTTACGTCCGCTAAAGGCGTACCTTAGCACTGCAGTTTCATTAGGGTCAATTAGTTAAGTTGGTCTTAGTAGAGCTAGGTGGTTATTTTAACTAGTAAAATTGAAGTTATTAATTTGAAGAAACCATTACAGCTGTGAGGTGCAAGAAAGGCTACCTGTAGTAATTAGTCAGATGCATTGAGTTGAGTGAAAGTGAAGAACGAAAGCTAAAGTGGAGTACCTATGGGTGCAGTAACAAGACGAGCAGAATGACGTCACGGCTCTGGTCAAAAATTACAAAGGTGTATTTGTTTTGAATGGGTTTGTGCAATGTGCTTGATATAATAGCCAGAGCTGCTGACGTATCCACTCAAAGTTGGTTGATGGTTCATATAATTGCCCTTTCATCTAATTGATATCTCAGAAAGATATCAGTTACACTCACCCAACTATCAGTTTATGGTTTCGAGGTTGAATATGGTGGAATTGCGATTACTTCACAATTATTGCTAAACGCCGTCTTATTGGAATCTCCAGGCTCCCTTAGATTTTTCACATGAGCGACTTCAATTCATTTATTTGGCATAAAAACTAGGCTCCACTAACTTAAAAGTTAATTAACCTAAATTTTCAATTGTTTCCCAACTGATGGTGTAAGCCATATTACAATGCTTTCCGCTTCAAAAGTAATTTTCAGGTAATAGTACACAAGTCACAATGTCTTGATTTGTGAGTATCTGGTATGCCAATATACCATTTCAAAGCTTATAGAAATTCCTTTGAGGTAATGTTTTACATGTAATACGATACTTAGTCAATAAAAATTTTCACTGACTATCTTCGGAGTACCTCGGTATGAAACACATTCCGCTAGGCATTGTTTTTTAAGCGACGTTGATAGACTGACCATCAAAACAATGCTGAAATGTAAAACAAGGGCAGATGTTGGAAGGCACTTACAGCATGCAGTCTATTGATTTAGGTGACCAAAAAGTTGGCTTTTCTGAACACGACGTTGCTTTCTAATACACCGCGTTGTGGCGCAATTAATAAAGGAAGCAGTAATGCACACTATATGCTACCTAAAGGGGTACTGGTACAAAATTTTGGGGCTGAGACCGCTTTTTGGGTTGATTCTCTTGAACATTCATATATCGGCTGCAAGATATCAACAGCGAATATAACTTGGAAAGAATTTTAAGTTTATTTTCATGTTTGCGTGAGCCACCGACTCCACAGCACTACAGACACCATCGAAGATGATCTCGAGGTGACCCCCTACTTCCTTCACGTCACCACGCTGCGGTCAACAAAACAGGCGGTGATGACGTCATAGCCGCCATTTTTTTATGCCGCGTTTGTTTCCGAAGTCTATATTTCTTGGCAGCTTGTTGCGAGTGCGTGGCCGTGGCACAAGGTTAGACAGTTTTGTGTTCGGTGACATTCGAGTCCCGTTTCCAATTCGAAGGTAATTCTTGATGCGGACCATGCAGAAGTGCGTCTCAGTTCTGTGTGATGACGGGGCCAAGAGTTGCACACGCTAGGTGGTGACAGTTCCACCCAGTTTTTGAAACTCTCTCAAACCGAAACTGAAACTGATTGATAATGATGGGCCTGTAATAATTATCTGTCGCGTGCTGCAGCAAACTATGTGCCGTGTCATGACTAATAGGCCCCCAGCAATGCATTGCAGCAGAAAAACGCCAGGTCAAAGTTTTTGTGTTAGTACCCTTTTAAAGAATCGCGCGGTAAATGATCCAGTGTTCTGAGAACACACACTATTCGCAATTATTGTATTCTCTCTTTTCGTAATACATGCACAGAGACATTTAAACCAATCATTTTTTATTTGCTCCAGGTCACATGCATTATCTACAGCAGTGCCCCGAGTAGCCACCAAAATCAACTCTAAGCTGCAACTACAAGGCAGAGTTTTCAGTTCAGGTGGAATTAACTAACAAGTCTTCCAGGGGTGACTTGGTTTTTTATAGAAAAAATGAGAAACCAAAAGAATATTTTATCTATGATACACCTCGCGTACCTATTCGTACAGTAAGGTTTGCTTCATTAAAATATGTGGTTCTATGTTATTCTTGCTTGATCTCGCCTTGTACTCTTCTGCATAATTGCTTTCGGGTGACATTTTACATAAGCATACGTCAATTTTTTTTCGAAGCAGCTTGGCAAATATTTCATCCGTAGTGATGAGTCGGGCGAAGCGGTTGCAGAAAAACGTTTAAATTCCTAGTTCAAACTATTCACTATTAACTGCAGTAGGCTCGCATTACTCCGGATCACGACCCACGAGTGTTTTTCGTTCTATCGGAGTGGTTTCGTTTTGTCAGCGAGTGCAAACACAACTTGCAACGGCGTTTGTTTTTCACGTGCACCCTGTGGCCCCAAGTTATAGTTGCTCGTGGTTACCTGGCATGATAGGTGAATCCAAATTTTGCTGTAATAAAGGTCTGCCACGATGGAGCAGTGGCTATGGTCATGGTGAGTGGGTCGCGGTTTCGATCCAGGTCGCAGTGGTAGATTTTGATGGAGGCATTAGGTAGAGTTATATTTACCCTATGATGTCAGTGAACTTCAAAGGATACCAGAAGGCTTAAAATTACTAAATCCATCCACTACAAAGTCTCTCATATACGCACCGTGTATTAGAGCTTTAAAACACCATATTTATTACACCATCGCTATTCAAAAAGCACGCAAACCGTTTCTTGTGAATGTAGAGTTCGACATACAAGATGTCTATCTGTTTCCGATGGAGGCGGAAATGTCGTAGGCCCGTGTGCTCAGATTTGGGTGCACGTTAAAGAACCCCAGGTGGTCGAAATTTCCGGAGCCTTCCACTACGGCGTCTCTCATAACCTTATGGTGGTTTTGGGACGTTAAACCCCACAAATCAATCAATCTTGGAGATGCTGGGTCATCAGAAACTTTACGTAGGAAAGAGAATTTTAGTCAAAATGCAGTGAAATGCAAAGCCTCCGTAGCGGGAGATGAACTGCGTTCTGATGTTTGAAAAGGAGAAAGTTACAATGCTTTTCTCTAAATAATACAGTTGCACATACTGCTGCAGACCAGCAATATTTTCGTAAGAAATTAAACAACAGACTGCCTCAAAACGTTATTTCTCGGAAACAAATTGCAGGGCAAGAAAATTTCTCGCCAATAGGGCTCTAATACTGAACTGAGAGATGCCTTGCTTACTCGAGCTGCATGTGTATTGAAAAGGCTTCAGAAAACTCCACGGCTACTTGACATGAGCCTTAGATGTCTACTTTATCCAAAAAGCAGAAAAACCACAAAAGCATCAGGATACATGAACAAAAATGTTGGAGTGATCACGGCAGAGTGTATACAACCTACCGAGAAAAGAAAGATCACTAATGCTTTGGAGTCGTTTTAGATGAATGCATACGAAGCACTGTGAGCGTTTTAAACAGACGTACAGCACATTTCAAAAACTGGAATTGCGCAATGAACAGGAGATGCCCACAAAACGGATAAACTGTGCCAGCTTGCCCCCGCTGTAAGCGCACTAAGGGGACCACCGATAGTATGAACGACAACCTACCTCATACATAGAGTGGATTCATCGGGTTACAGTAGTGATAGCTCCAAGTCCCCGTTGCAATGTAAACTAGCCTTTGTGACTGATGGCCCTATTTTTTCTGACAAATGTGCACTACACCCAAAAGCTACATGTCATGGTTTCATGCATTAGGTGTACATAGCTGT